GAAGGCTGTGTTGAATAAATACGACGTCAAACGGATTTTTCTTCCTACAGCTCTTGATAAGCTCAATGTAAGCCTCAGGATTGTCAACCTTATCCAGCTTCAGTCTTTTTTTCTCTATTGCACCGAAGTCTCTATCTACTGGCATCACAGAATGTCCTGGAACTGGATACCATATTTCAATTTCATTGAAAGTGTTATTTTTACATAACTGATCTAGGAACGTGAAAATAATTCGATTTTTATTTTGGCTAAATGCATTGTCACAAAATATTTTTAGCTTTCTCTGTTGATGATCCTTGTTTGTCATAATATAATCATTCAAACATGTTATAACTTCATTTGGTCCTTTGTGAGCAAAGTTCTCAGTGTAAGTATACATTGTTGTTCTATGAGTTTTCAAGTTGTGAATGCCGAAAACGTGCAGCCATAACTGACTAACGTAATATTCATCTTGTGCATTAGTTACAGGTAAAGGCAGGTTCTTTTCGTAGTCAAAGCATATTATCATTTCTGAAGGATCTGCTGATTTCTGAACCTCAGCCAACTTAGTTTTGAACACCTCAGCTTTCCTGAGATGAACTTCTTTATTTACTTCCAGCGTCCGCAAAAGTTCTTGATCTGATTTCACTGCGGCTTGTTTTATATCAACTAGGAGTTTTGTGCAGGTATTGCATATATCTTTTCGCGGATGCGCAAATGATATATTAAATTCTTCGTTGAATACCTTAGAGAAAATCCCATATGATACAGTATCGTTAGGGTGTTGTGCGTTGAAATTTTCATGTAATTTAGTAATGGATAAATTAGGGTCTAGATACTTTCTATTGCGGCTATCAGATCTTGTGTAATGTGATTCACGAGCTGGCAATTCGGAAATAAATTGTCTCACTTTCTGGAGAGATTCAGTTTTGGTTCTGTTTGGCCTGTTGGTGTGACGATCTCTATTATCTGCTGGTTCTGCCTACGTCCTAACTTTCTTCTCTAATCTAGACTTAAAAATCCCGTAAACTGCTAAAAAGGCCTTCTGGCAAAAATTAATTTTACTGCTTCCGTTACTAACTTCATAGGAAAAAACTGTACGACTTCGCGATGTTTCATCTTTACGCTGACGAGATCGGGATTTTAGCTCTTTTTTAACACAACCTTGTAAGTAAATTGTTTGCTCTGCATGGCTAGACAGACTACAATATCTTTCAAAAATGTCAATCTGCTCCAATTCACTTAGTTTACAGCCACACTTACATCTGCAGTTGCCAACATCACGACGTTTATTCTTCTCTTTGAATAGGTTTTGTTTTTTCTTTTTACCTTTCATTACATTTTCGAGATCTTCGTCAACTCGAGCTGGATTATTGCCAATATTACCTGAGTCTAAGTTATCAGATATGTGTTCATTTTCGTTGAAAGAATCTGAACCAACCACCGCCAGATTTTTCTTGCGCCCATTATCTTCGTTAGGATCATATTCGCTCCCCGAAGATACTTCTTCGCTATAACTACTTGATTCTAGAAAGAAAAAGTTGTATAATCTCAAAATCCTTGTCAGCATAACCAATACAGGCTTATTAACATCTTACAACAACATAAATCATGATAAGAGGACTTGAGCTTACTATTGTCAGACATTTTAGTATGGAACTCAAACAAAAACGTGATAACAAGCAAAACTGGAGCAGCAACAAGACACTTCTCTCAAAAGTTAGGTTATAAAACCTGAACACAGCATGCTAAGAAGTCAAACTCAAAAAGTGGATAAGTCCGTGGACGTAGCAACTTTTTGCCACTTAGTTACTTCTTGCAATGAAATGATGATTGATTGCAATATCTACATAAGGGTTTCCATGCACTAGGACGCTTCTTTCCACAAATCTGTCATCACCAAAGTATTATACAGGTAAACTTACACAGATGCAGACACTTAGCTCAATTTCAATAAAATGTGGACTTAGCTACTTTTTGCACTGACCCCTTCAATTGTCTTCTTGTTGCAGCTGGCTTTTTGGTCCTTTATGTCGCCTTATTGTTCTTGGGTCGTAATCTAAGGCGTCTTCATCATCTGGATCACGACCGGTACCTGTCTGATTTCGTCATAAAGGACTCTGTTAGATACGTACCACGGTGTGTTCACCGCCTCTCGGAGCGTTATATTTTGTTGTAGCTTTGAACCTCTTCTTCCACGTTTTGGTCACGTAGCCTCAAGCATAATTTGGAGCAGATTGAAGCTTCCTCGTCCATTCAGCATCCTTTTTCTCTGCTGCCACCCTTATTTTGGCTAATCCTGCTGTGAGATCGGCGACAGCTTTATTCAGTGTATTAATTTGCTTTTTAAGAGCCGTATTGGCCATTACTGTTTATGTTTCAGAAGCTTCGTCTTCACTGCTGCTGGACGAGTAATCGTCACGTCTTTTTGCGTTTTTGAGTCTTCCCACTGCATTACACTTCACTTGCTCACTGTGCCTTTTCAGGCCTCACTGAATTCCAACCCATTGAGCCATGTAAGCACATGCCTGACAAAGTTGTTAGCAGTGTGCCCCTGCCGTTGATTCTACTTACCGCTGACCGCCAATCCGTCTACCACACTCGAACAGACAAGCAGGAGAATTCTTGCAATACTCGCATACTCCCTCCCTCCCCAGGCAGCTTTAGGTAGCAGCCATGTTCTGTGAAAGTCGATGCAGTATAGTAACCAATACGCTCCACTCCTTTGTCAGTCAAGATTCTAATATCAGGGATCATCTTCATCATCAGCCAGAAAATTAATCGGTGGGACACTGGCCACCACCAGCAATGGAATGCAACGATACAGTTATATAGGCGCCGATCACGCGCAGTATGATCTTCCTTTGGCTTCTGAGCATTAGCAACATATATTTCTGTTTTCTCAAGGCTTTGCCCTACATAAGGGTTCCATAACTAATGAATTGTTAGAAATACCATCCATGCTGAGCTAGACCTCTTCATATTCATTATTAAACTATAAATATTTTGTTATTTGGTTGGTTTTTGGGTAGTTAGGCCGTCGTAAAATATTTTTATTTGACGTTTTGCCAACACAAGTGGTTGGCATCTTTAGAAGGTGTTTACAGCTCGGCGTCCTGTAAGCAACCAAATAATATTTCGCATTTCATATATGTTCATCAGAAACTCGACTTACAAACATAGAGTCATAAATCTGGTCTGATTTAAGGTTTTGGTTGAGCCACAATGTCTAGATATTTAATTCCATTTTGATTTCGAATGTCGCCCTAACAACCAATGCAATTAGCTTCTATCTGCCGGACACTATGACCTCTTCCGTCTTCTCGGGAGCTAACTTCAATCCATGCTCTTCCACCTATACGTGAATAAAACTTTATTGGAATTGTGACCACGATTGATACATTGTTTTATTTTTTACTTAATCACTTTAGGCTCTGCAGGAAGGAACTTTTCCATGAAATGGTCGCTGGACTGGAAGTTTATCCACGGGGTTACTTAATTTTAACACAGATAATTAAATCACGCCAATATTAAAGTTTTAGTACGCCTTTACCTTGAGACAGGGTAGGAGTTTTTCTCTGGCCGAGGTTTAATTAAGGCATCATTAATATATACGAAGGATTATCCTTGGAAGAAGATTAAGTTTCTACGCATAACCGAAAATATTGCCATCCAAACGATCTAAGATCAAATTTAACTGTGACCCGAACATTTTTGATCTTGAATACTATATACGAGGGTTATTTTTTAAGGAAGAACATAAATTGCATCACAAGCTAAAACATGGATACTCATATTTTTGTCAATTTGTGACCACAGCCTTTATATGCCGCCGTCAAGGGACACTGCCACCTGACCGTAAAGCCAGTTGCTCTTTTCATCATGTCATCATTTTCGGAGCACCTTTCATCGAGAAATTCCTAAGTTTTTGTGCCAAGTCAGAGCTGTTTGATAGATGATTCAGTAATTCATAACGAAGCCTGTACAGTTGCGTCTGTGTTTATGCCGCAACGTGACGCCGCGCGTTGCCATGAAGCAGGATGACGCCACTAGAGAGCAGGCCTCACCGCCGCTTTTGAATAGCACGCCTAAGCTTCAATGGTGTTTCAGAGCACCTCTCAGTGTTCATAGCAGGACGAACTTTGCGTTTAAAAACCCAGTTACTGAGCGCACTCCACAATCGACGGGCTTACTGAGGTGACATGGCGCTGAGCAAGCAGTATAAACACGCAACCAACGCAGACAAAGGCCTGAATATAATGGCGGCGTAGTGAACTGCTGGTCAAGGCGAGACAAAATGCGCGGGCACGATGCGCAATCAGTTCTCACTTTGAAAATATTATTTTGCAGAAAATATGTAAATTGACGTGAAGAGTATGATGAAAGTAAGGCTACTCTAAACCCGTTCTGGAACCGTCGATTTTTTATGACTAGAGGAAACGCTTCTTAATCAGACTATATCGATATCATTTCTAATATCCTTTCGATAAAAAACTATACACTCATCAACTTACGACACAAATACTTAATCCAGAAACTCCTCAGGTGCAGCTTGTCCGAAAGTATCCGCTCGACTGCGCTCTTCTTAGGAGCAACAGTTTACCGACAAGGTTTTCAGGAGACGGTCATGAAAGTTTAGCTTTACGAGACAAATCAATGTTCTCTTGCATTCAAGTGATATAAGTACCTTTGTAATGCGTTATGTCTTTCAGATATTATCCATTCCCAATGCACCTGTTCACGAACGAATCGTAAATTGATGCGTGTTTCTGACAACGTCGCGCTAGTCCAGTTCGTTGTTTGAGCTGTTTTCCGCTGTGAACTCCCGGCAGAGCGGATACATTCGGACAAGCTGGCTTAGACTGCGGTCAGAGTTTTTCGAGGGAAACATTTGACAGGTTCTGTTATAGTTAGCTTTTATTTTGTATTGGTAGCAAATTGAACTTACAGACGCTGCAGACACGAGTAAAGATATTAATGAAAAAGAAGAAATATCACAAAAACTATATTTTTCGCTCCAGGACAAGATTTGGAGAATATATCCTCTTTCTGCAACTACTGGAGCAACCGGCAAAATTGCTTGAGTATATGAGACAAGACGCTTTAACCGTGCTACAAGAGCAGCTTGTGTAGGAACTATGTGCCGTAGTAAGATAAATACTCAATAATATTCTCGTATACTATTTTTTCTTCCAAACTGTTTATACTAGGAATATAAAAAAATGCAACGAAGCTTCCGAAAAAAACAAATTAATTTGATTACTACGATGTCCGAAAAATTCGGCCGTACTTGTCGGTCGATATTAGATCTACCGTGACCAAGTCAATAGAATGCCAATAAAATTGAAACGATCGCAGGAACCGGGCGTACATGGCCGAAAAATTATTCGCGGAAGTATCTTTACGGATGTAAAATGTAAATTTTCTATGGATTTTTGCAAGAACTAATCAGTAGATTTCCTTAATATTCCAGAGAATCATCAATGTGTACACTGAAAATATAAAAATCTTAGAATTTTTTGTAAATTGTGCGCAAACACAACAGTTGGTGTTTTTCTTCTTTGTTCCACTATGTTAACGCAAGTGTTCCTTAGCGATTGGTCTTGGCTCCAGCATTGTTTCTATTACTCATCAACAACCCTCTCTTCTGCATGATTGAACCCATACACATCTTTTCCGATGAAATCACCCTGCATGCAGGCATTCACTGTGGCAAACCGACTTCTGTTTGTAGCTGAAGAAAAGAATACTAGTATCGACTTCTTTTCTAATGAGAGACCTGGATGTTATCACCGCTTGGAGACACAACGATGTTGTACAATTTAATGCTTCCAACACACAGTATTGTACCTTGACCAACAAGAAGTATCCTACCGGTCTTCCGGTTTCGATGGAAGGCCGAGCTCTGCCAAAGAACCATTTATCTCGGCTGTTTAGAGTCCAGAAAAATCGACGACTTGATTTGGCATACATCTCATCTATCGCAGCAGTCGCTGGTGAAAAGCCACGTCGTCGGTTCAGCGCTAAGACGCACTTGTTACTCTAGCTGAGGTCCAGATAAGACCTAGCGTCGAGTACTACTTACATGTTGGGTACTTCCACAGCGACTAAATTGTCTACTCGATGCTGTTCAAAAAAGGGCTGTTCAACTGATCAATGAAACTTCTCTAACAGCCAGCTACAGGACCTTCTTGCACCGACGGTGGTCGGCGATCATGCTCTCTTCTACTGCTATGGCAACAAGCTTTGCTCCTTAGAGCTCTCCTCCCTAATGCCGCCAGGTGTTGGTTCTTCTAGACAGACCGGCCAGGCTTCTGCGACTCATCCCAACTCTGGCGAACTTCGTATATCGACGACCGGCCGGTTGCCACCGCTCGTCTGTTCCTATAGGGTGTCGAGGTTATGGAACGATCTGCCTGAGGAGGTATTTCCCAGTTTTGCTAGCCTTAGGCCAGTGGTCGCCAACCCGTCGATCGCAAGCAAAGGCAATTCTGGTGGCTAACAACATATTTCAAAAAGGTGTACAAATCATAGAAGCTTAAGCAAATTTTGTAAATTCCCATAACAAACACAAGCAGCTTCAACACTGCGATAAGCGATCTGTCCGAGAACGATCTCTATTACTGGGAAAAACTAAAACAATTGAAAAATCAGTTAATTGGACAACAGACAATGTTTTTAAAAACAATCGACAAAAGTAAAGCTGCAACTGAAGCATCATACCGGGTATTCCAGGTAATTACACAAATGAAGAAACCTTATGAAGGCGGTGAAATAATAAAACAGACGTTTTTAGAAGCTGCAGATTCATTATTTGCCAACTTTAGAAATAAAGACGATAGTGCCTACTATCAAATCTATACAACTTTCTGCTAATATGGTGATGAGATGAGTAGAAGTAATGAGCAATTATATAGTTTTACAGTAAAGAAATGGCTTCGATAACTGTGCGTATTTTTGACTGAATCCACAGATGTTGACATCTCGCAGATGACAGCGTTCGTCAGGATGGTTTTTCGTGATTTTACGATTAACGAAGATCTTTTAAAATTTATTCCACTAAAAAAAAAGCCACCTGGGCAGACTTATTTTTTTTCATTTCTTTCATCTTTCATTAAAACCATATGACAGTAAATATCATGTAGAAATAGTGTCTAACTTGAAGGATAATTTCAGAAACATTTTTCAGGCATTTCAAACGAAATTGCTATTGTGGCGCAATTTGTTGTTTCACCCTTCATGGAAATTGATATCCAACAGTTTGCAACTTCTGTTACGCAGAATTTTAGCGAAGACATCGCTGCGACACAAATGGAAGTGATTGCGTTTCAAATTGATTTAGCTTTAAAATCATTTGTCTCAAATACAAAATGTATTTGGCCTTCAGTAAGTAAAGATGAATATTCAGTTTTATGTCGTGTTGCCTTGGAAGTGAAACCGTTATTTAGTTCAATCTATTTGTGTGAATCTTCTTTCTCAAATATGAAGTTTATCAAAAACAAATACCGTAATCGAATTACAGATGAACATTTAGATAATTGTATTCTAATGGCGGAATCAAATTATACTCCAAACATCAAAAAAATTGTCAATGAGTCTGACTGTCAGGCTTCTCATTGAGCACGCATTTTTTATCTGGGCATGTTGCTGTTTGAAATAGTCCGTTGCTATTTTAGTTTTAGTTACTTTTATTAAATCGTATCTGAAGAAAAATTTTGTTTATTTTTCAAACACGTACGATTGGTAAGAATTGATGCAGTTATGTAGTATGTATTAGTTATTAGTCCATTTAAGTTTATTAGTATGTATTAGTATAAGCAAAATAAACTCATGTATGTCGCATACAACTGTGTATAATATATATATATATATATACGACTAGGTAGCTCACTGCTTATTCCAAAATTATCAAAATATCTCGACACACTGAAACGGTTGATGACAACTGCCTTGGACAGTTGAAAAATCAGCAAGGCACCATTACGTTCGTTATACCAGTCACGGTGCCCCGGTATTTAGGTTTCTGCCTAAGCGCTACTTCGGAATAAAAAAAGACACATTAAAATGTTACCGCTAGAACGGTTATTTGACCCGCTTGAAGCTGAGAAATTCCCCAAATGTAACAACATCGATCCGGTTAGAGTCTGATTGTTCCACTCTAGACGGAGACAAATCTGAGACGTGAATTCCCCTCGCTGTCAAATAAGTCATGAATAATTGTAACCCACTTCTCGTGTAGGGCTAAACAGCTGCCTGCAGGTCCCTAAACACACACCAATCTCGCATTAGCCACCCCGGGTGTTGCTGTTCTCAAGAAACCTTCAAGGGCAAGGATTACACCACCACTGACACGTTTAATCCATTATCATTCTTTAGATTAGGGATATGGAATTTTAATCAGATTCTAATAGAGCCCCTAAGCGGGTAATATCTTTGTCGAAATATTTTTCTATAACTTTAACAACCATATATGAAAATATTGCAGGGCATAGCCCAGCCACATATTCCTTAGGACTATTGCGTCAAAGATATATAATACGCCAAAAAACTCGGTAAGACGTAAAGTTCTGCACTAGGTAGACGCTAATGTGCATCTAGTTCATTATGCGTCAACTACAAGTGAGCATGGAGTGAATGTTAGCTAGTTCAAAGGTGACACATTACATGATATCTTCATAAATAGTTTCTATTTCTCGACAATATTACCTACAATGTGTAGATACATACGAGTACATTAATTTGTCACAATTTAACATCAGGAAGGGATGGACAACGCTTAACAGATTTAAATATCAGTACGGGTGGCGAACACCAATTAGGAGAATTCAAGACTAAATTAGTATGTTGCAAATATGTTACAATGTTTTTCTATATATGTACATTCGTATATAGAACACCTATAGTTGTCAATTTCATATATTTTCAGCAACATAATAACTTAACTCTGGATAGGCTTGGCTGGTGCTGGCTACTCTGAGTCTAAATTGTTCAATTTCAATAAAGCATAATACAAAACATCATACTCGTATGTTGCACTTTCACTATCTAGTCCGATGTTTGGAATATATTAAGTGAGGACAAATAAGACGACATCAAAAGCAAAACATTTTGATGGTTTGCTGCACGCGCTGCCAGTCGCTTTTACTTCTCTTCCTTTATTCCGCTTTTGCGTACGTCCTTAAGCTTCTAAATTTTGTATATGCTTCTTCAACAGATATATTGATTTTCTTTGAGATTATGGCCCATTCGCCTTTCTTTGCATTTCGGTTTCATCCATAATTCAACCTCCCTCACTTCTGGGCGTGCATTCATTTATAAAGTCAATGATCCATTCGCTGTTCTAATAGTTGTTGTTCATAGTAAACAAAATTGTGTGTTGGGAATCTAAGATCTGCAAGATATTACATACATTAATATTGTAAACTATTTTTACTTAACCTCCGATCGCGCGTTAGTCTGACAAAAATATAAGACTAGCTTATAATCTGTGGGAATATATACAGGGAAAACCAAATCTGACTGATGACGGAATCTCGTGTCACTAAACTGAGAATTTAAGTAAACAAAACTCAACGTTAAAGCTTTGATTGCCTCTTTACACTGTGTATAAAAAATTTTGCTTTACAGAACATTGCATCTTTTAATGGTGTGTAACGTACAAAATTTTGTCAGCAAACCTTAGATTGGAACTGAGATTAACACTTCTCTTAAGAGCAGCTTTTATTGCTTTTTGAAGTTCTAAAAAACTTTCAACGCCTTCGCCAATGGTCCGGAATACTAGGACTACATAGAAACCCACGCTTTTTTGTGTTTTTTTTTAAATAAAAATACGATTTTGACTTGTCAACAGCTATCAATTTTGGGTCGAAGCAAATCATGTGTTAGCCTCTTTTACCTTGTCCAAATTCATTTGGGTTGACGAGTTTATCTACCCAGAGCTTTTTTACCACAGCTAGTTTATTTGTCGTTTTAATAAAACTCGTAGACCAAACATCCTACCCAAAACTGTAAGAACATTATCACCCAAACAACCACCCAGTTTTGTTGGATGACTGAGCTAGCTTCAGGTACTCCTGTCTTCCGAATCTTGGAAAAGAGTACTGTTGACTAAGTTATCGAATACTTCATTCACA